TGATTCCTTAATTTAAATATTAATATATTTATTTAAAACTTTCATTTGCTAATCTCTTTCAATTATTTCAGAGATCAAAACACAGGTTATAATTGACATATATTTAACCATAAGAATATGACCAAAATTTTGCATTATATATCAAAAGCATAAATAAAATTCATAGAATCGAAATTCCGTCGAAAAGTCCACAAAATATAATTTCTTTTTCTTTTATTTTTTTCAAAAGTTTTCGACGGAATTCATTTTCCTTCGAAAATCTTCGACGGAATCGAAATTCCGTCGAAAAGTCCACAGAATATAATTTCTTTTTCTTTTTTGTTTTTCAAAAGTTTTCGACGGAATTCCTCTTCCGTCGAAAATCTTCGACGGAATCGAAATTCCGTCGAAAAGTCCACAGAATATAATTTCTTTTTCTTTTTTGTTTTTCAAAAGTTTTCGACGGAATTCCTCTTCCGTCGAAAATCTTCGACGGAATCGAAATTCCGTCGAAAAGTCCACAAAATATAATTTCTTTTTCTTTTATTTTTTTTCAAAAGTTTTCGACGGAATTCATCTTCCGTCGAAAATCTTTGACGGAATCGAAATTCCGTCGAAAAGTTCACAAACTATAATTTCTTTTTCTTTTATTTTTTTTCAAAAGTTTTCGATGGAATTCCTCTTCGACGGAATTTCGATTCCGTCGAAAAGTCCACAAAATATAATTTCTTTTTCTTTTATTTTTTTCAAAAGTTTTCGACGAAATTCCTTTTCCGTCGAAAATCTTCGACGGAATCGAAATTCCGTCGAAAAGTCCACAAAATATAATTTCTTTTTCTTTTATTTTTTTCAAAAGTTTTCGACGGAATTCCTTTTCCGTCGAAAATCTTCGACGGAATCGAAATTCCGTCGAAAAGTCCACAAAATATAATTTCTTTTTCTTTTATTTTTTCAAAAGTTTTCGACGGAATTCCTTTTCCGTAGAAAATCTTCGACAGAATTTCTTTTTCCGTCGAAATTTTTGGACGGAAAAGGAATTCCGTCGAAATTTTAGACGGAAAATAGATTCCGTGGAAAATTCCGTCAATAATTTCAACGGATTTTTTTTCCGTCGAAAAATTCCGTCGATAATAATGACTTTTCAAGTAGTGCATTTAGTGAAAATATTCCTAAAGTTATCTTCCAACCAATTTTTAGTATCCAAGATTATGTATTTGGATCTCATGTTCTGCATAGATGTTGTAAATCTTTCTTTTATCTTTTCAACAAGACGAAGAGCACATCCATTCGACAAATACACACTACAAGAAAAAATATTATTAGTGTCGCAAATTTTGTCACTACATATGAAATTTCGTCACAAATTCCTGAGTCGCAAATTTATTTGTGACGAAATTTGATTATTTGTGTCGAAAATTGTCATTTGTGACAAAATTTGTGACGAAAATTTTTGTCGCAAATGAACTTTTTTCTTGTAGTGACTACCCAAGATATACCCAAAATACGAAACCAACACATTAACTCGTTGAATAAACTCACTATAGCGAGAAGTTAGCTACCCTGGACAATAGAATTTCTTATCTCTTCTCCCTTATTTTCTTTGTTTTACATTTCCTTCTTCTTGTACTTTATTTTTCTCGAGTTTATTCCATTTATTCACCATTCTTTTCGTAACATAAACATATTAACGTTAATCTTTTATTTATAATCTTTAATATCTAAATATTTCTCAACGTTGACATCAAACATGCAAATGAACACATGATCACATCCAGTAAAGAATTTCTTATCTACATAAGGTTTTTGACTTGATCACGCACCCAATATGAGCCCATCGCGTAGGTCCATAACAAATACTATATTAATTACGTATGATTTTTTTGTTTACTTGACTGAATGCTAAATTTGTATAATTACATTGAAATTCAATATCTCCAAAGCTACAATGTTTTCAATCTCTGGTGGAACATCCTCAGATTGAAACTATTATAAGCTAACTTTGCGAGGGAGTGTGCCACGTTGTACGCATACTCACGCAAAGAAGTTGTAAAACTCTAAAGTGAAGTATATAATTTCAGAGTAATAATAAAAATTATGGTAAAATTTCGCTAAATAAATGCAAAGAACATCAGGGATATGAATGAATCAACTTCATTGATTTGCCCCCCTTTTAATCAACGATTACCAAACAGGCATTGCATCGATCTCTCAATCTAGATTCTATTTGGAGGACTGAGAAAACATTTCTGTCGCTTCTCTTTTGTCCACTAGATCAGTACAAGGTTCATCTCGATCAATAATATGGAGAACCAATTACGCATGAGTACTGGAAAATATATGTTTTATAATCATATAACTAATAACAAGAATTGATGTGCATATTTAATCAGAAATTATAGATGAAATCATTGTCATTGAACGGGTCACTCTATATATTTATTTATTTTTTCAAGTCTTCACCCATATTGTGGTGTGAACTCAGAAATCAAAGTTGTCAAAATCATTTCTCTAAATCTAATTGATAAGATTTTCAAGTGGATTGCGAGTTCAAGATTATTGGTACAATACCAAAATTCTAGTTGTCGCAAGTCTTTACCCGTACCATTTGCTCCTCCTATACGGCGTTGATTTCTTAGAACTTTGCTGGTAATCGAATTCTTTTTATAACATGTTTCCATAAAGAATTTGACTAACCGAAACCTTTGTCTTAAAATGCATTTGTATGAAGAACCTTGATACCAGTTGAAATCTGCATGCTCCTTCATGCTTCAATTTATTTATAAAAAAAGTACATATATATATTAACACAATTTTATTTACATTATTTTTATATTGATAGTAGGTATGGATATCTGGTGATCAATTCGTATCATGTGATGCCTATTAAAATTGGTAGGCAATTAATAATTCAATATCCTCATCAGTCGCGCGATTAATATCCTATTCATCACCTAATACATACACTTATGCAAACGTATGTGAAAAAAATAATGTCCGTAAAGACTAATTGATTTATTTATTACTATATATATATTAAAAGGACACACAAACAAAAATTTGGGATGAAGACCCTCTTAAATTTTTTTTAGTAAATAACAACCTCTATCTGAAGCCCCAACAAACCAGACTAATCAGGTTTTGGGTTTGAGTTTCTCCAACTTCCTCAAGAGTAATGACTCTTAGGGTTCAAACTTTCAAAGGATCCTCTATATATATCCTCTCTCTCTCTCTCTCTCTCTCTCTCTCTATATATATATATATATATATATATATATATATATATAGAGGTAGGATCCTTTGACACCAGTGTCAAATTTGAAATTTGACACCTTATCTGATAACCGTCAGATCAAAAAAGAACAATGGTTTCACATGCTTACAAATCAGAGTCGTTGATATTTTTTTATATAACGACTACCAGATGAGGTGTCAAATTTTAAATTTGACACTGGTGTCAATGTTTATATATATATATATATATATATATATATATATATATATATATCTATGTAGGATCTTTTGACACCGGTGTCAAATTTCAATTTTGACACATTATCTCAGAACCGTTAGATAAAAAAAAAAATCAATGACTCTTATTAGCAAGCATGTGACACCATTGATCTTTTTTTATCTAACGGCTCTGAGATGAGGTGTCAAAATTAAAATTTGACACCGATGTCAAAGGATCCTACTTCATATATATATATATATATTTATATATATATATGTATATATATATATATATATATGTATATATATATATGTATATATATATGTATATATATATGGGCAAGATCCTGTGACACTGGTATCAAATTAAAAAGTTTGATACTAAATTTTAATTATTGATTTCTACGAGTCTGATGATTATATTTTATTGGATTACATTTACTAATTAATTATCAATTCCTAATAAGTTCAGTAAAATATTGATTACAAAAAAATATTTGAAGTTAATAGCGGAATACTTCTGCAACAAAATATATTATAGCACTTTTTTGGTTTAAGAAATTTTTTTTTTAATTTTTAAAAATATTCTTAATTTGAGTTCTTAAAAATAATTTTGTTTTTAAATAATCTTATATTAGAAATTATGTTTAGTTTGTTAACCTCAACTTTGTAGAAAATAAAATAATGAAAACAAGTGGGACCTTAAAATTTAAATTTTAAATGAATATATAGTACTGAGTAATGGGTTTTTTCACCATTTTGCCCCTCATTAATTATTTAATAACAATTTTGCCCCTTATTGCAAACTATCTACCAATCTGCCCCTCTTTAATCGATTAAGCCAAAAATTTAATCGATTAAATGGTCAAATGAAGATTTAATCGATTAAATTTTCAACTTAATCGATTAAATCTTCCTCTTTATCAGAAGAACAACCTTATGCATGAGAGATTTAATCAATTAAATAGGGAGATTTAATTGACTAAATCTTCAAGTCAACGATTTTTGCCGATTTTGACCATTTAATCGATTAAATTTTTTGCTTAATCGATTAAAGAGAGGCAGATTAGTAGATAGTTCTGAATAAGGAGCAAAATAGTTATTAAATAATTAATAAGGGGCAAAAGGGTAAAAAAACCCTGAGTAATGGGTGAATAATGAGTTATCCGAACCTTCCTTGACTAATTAACTAATGAAGGGTAGAATCGAAGAGTCCATAACTTGTGCTACCTTCCATTAGTTCATTGGCCATGGTGAGAGCATTCCTCAGTAGGAGTGGCAAATTACTTTCATCACATGCATTTATTAAGGGTCAAACTAATTGTCCTTTGGACTGACTTAATAATGTGGAAACTATAAGAAGTATCCATAAATTATGTGTTTTATATTATACAATATTAAAAAAATGATGCTCATTTTATAGATGGCTGTGAAAAATATATTAAATTTGGCAGTATCTGTAACAATAATTTGAAGTTATTCACATCTTTAATTTCTATACATAAGCCAAAGCTTTGTGATATACGAGCATATATTGCATAGCAAATCCATTAGGCAAAGCAAAATCCAAGATGGCCTCTCTCATAATCTTCAGTTCAAAATCCGATGAAGACTTCTGGTTCATCCAATTCAATGAGATGCTGAGTGAAACCAACCTCGAAACCTTGAATAATATACCCGTTTGCATTTACCAAGTTCCCAAATCTTTGAGTTGTGCCAAACCAGAAGCTTTTACTCCACAAATCATAGCCATTGGTCCTTATAACCATTTTCGTCCAGAGTTCTATCCCATGGAAAGGTTCAAAATATTTTCAGCCAAAAGGGTCATCCAGCACTTCAACACACACGACATCAATCAACTAGTTAAGAAACTGAGCAACACAGTGTCATTCGTCCGTGCTTGTTATCACAAATACTTGCACATCAACGACGATACCTTGTTATACACCATGGTCATTGATGGTTTGTTCTTATTGTATTTCTTTCACAACTATCTTGACGAGAAAGAGTCTTGTTCTTTCTTGACAGGTGTAGGGCAACAACTTGAGAAAAGTGGTGTGAAGCATACCAAAGATGACATCATCAAAGACGTGTTCATGGTGGAGAATCAAATTCCAACCTTCATAATGAGAAGGATCTTGGTGATTGAAAGCTCCGAAGATAAACTTATAGTTGAAGAAAAATTAGGTTCTATGCTCTTGTCTTTCTGTACGAAACACTGTCCACTCAAGATAACACAGACATGGACAAAAGCTCTCGCTAATCGTTATCATCTCTTGGATCTCATGTACCATTTGGTGGTTCCTGAGAATGAAAAGTCAGAAACAACAGCAACATCTGAAAGAGAAGGTATGTGTAATACCTCTGCCACTGATGCTCCTAAATCCAAGAAATGCTCAATATCTGAAGGCATAGACAAAGTCAAAAAGAAAGTTTATGTTCCAATAAAGGGGACACGAGACTATCTCAAAAAGATGAAGGAGATGAATCTTTCTCTCTTGTCACCAATTAAACCATGCATAGATGGAATCGTGAGTATGCTAAACGTGTGTCAAAATTCTACATCAGAAACGTCCCCTTTTGACATTGAAGCTCCTAAGGTTGTTCTCATTCCTTCTGTGCGTGAGCTTCGTTCTGTTGGGATCAATTGTAAACCCTCTGAAGGTGGCATCAGCACCATTCATTTCGATGAGAGTGTGTATATATTTTACCTCCCTGTGATCGAATTGGATGCCAACTCTGAAGTGATAATGAGAAACCTTGTGGCTTATGAGGCTTTGACTCAACCAAATTCACTCATATTCACAAGGTACACTGAATTGATGGGAGCAATGATAGACACTTTGGAGGATGTTAAGCTTCTAAAGGATGCAGATATCATAGAAAAAACAAGCTCTCTCAGTGTTGATGGAACTCTGGAACTTTTCAATGGGATGAACAAATCCATTGGACCCACCAAGACTGTGAAGTTATTGGATGAAACCATTGAGAAAGTTAACAAGTGCTACCGTAAAAAGCAGAAGTTCAGCCTCTGCAGGAGCTTCACCAGTTATGTCTACTCTTCATGGCAGTTCTTCACACTTCTTGCGACCTTGGTGCTCTTGGCCATGACGGCACTTCAAACAGTCTGCACCGTTTATGATTGTCCCAGTCATTTTAGACACAAATAATTTTTTCATATCATTTTCATTTTTACGGGTTGTGGTCAAAATAATTATGGAAAGTGTACTTGCATTTTCGATGCGAGAAATAAAAAACATGTATTTTCCAAAAAAAAAGAAAAAGAAAGAAGGAATGAACATGTTGTAATTGTTTTCGATTTTAAGTTTAGAAACTAGAGATAGAATATTCATATTACTAATTTTTTTTATTTCTATTTCTAATCCACTACGACTCTAATCAACATTCGATTTCATTTTTCAATCGACAATTTCTGAAAAATTTTCAAAAAAAGAGAAAAAAAAATCAACTTTTAATGTATTCCTTGAAATACATAGTTATATTATAATAGTACGTAATGGATTGGTAGTAGTAATAATTGATAGTATAAATATTCTACCCGTAAAAACTAATGGATTTATTTTCAAAATTTTATTATTAAAAAAATACAAAATCAATAATTATCGGTTAAAGTGACTAGGAATATATTGCCCTTAATAATAAATTTGGAGTTCAAGCTTTAAAGATAGAGGAAATAGTCTGGGGAGAACGGTATTGAACTCATTAACCAAGTTTTCAGCAGTAGAAAAATCAAGAAAAAAAATGAGAGAGAATCACAAGAGACAAAAGAAAAAATATAGGGCATGCATGGGATGAGCCGGCAAGGAAAAAAAATGATAGGTCTGAAGAATGAAGATAAGGTTGCCAACTATGAAAGATCTTAAATAATTACCGTCATTTTCCATCTAAGTGGTTGATAAGTTGGTATCAGAACTATAGTAATCTTTAAGTCAATAATTCTATTTCACACACGTACGTAACAATTTTAATATATATATATATATATATATATATATATATATATATATATATATATATATATATATATAATAGGATTAACTTACACCGGTGTAAGAATGATAAATCTTACATAAAATATTAACCGTTGATTTCCGTGCATCTAACAGTTGAGATTTATTGGGAATTAAAAATTAATTAATGAGTGAGACCTAATAAATCTTAATCGTTAGATACAGAAAATCAATGGTTAAGATTTGGTGTAAGACTTATTATTCTTACACCGATGTAAGCTCATCTTGCCCCATATATATATATATATATATATGGGGATGGATCATTTGACTCCAGAGTAAGATTTAAAAGTCTTACTCCTCATCCCAGCCCTTGATTTCCGTTCATCCAACGGTTAGCATTTAATAAGTAACAACAATTAATTAATTATTAATTTTAAATAAATGCTAACCGTTGGATGAACGGAAATCAAGGGCTGGGATGAGGAGTAAGACTTTTAAATCTTACTCTGGAGTCAAATGATCCCTCCCCTATATATATATATATATATATATATATATATATATATATATATATATGGGGCAGGATCATCTTATACCGGTGTAAGAATAATAAGTCTTACACCAAATCTTAACCTTTGATTTTTTACATCTAACGGTTAAGATTTATTAGGTCTCACTCATTAATTAATTTTTAATTTCCAATAAATCTCAACCATTGGATGCACGGAAATCAATGGTTAAGATTTGGTGTAAGATTTATTATTCTTACACCGGTGTAAGTTAATCCTATCCCTATATATATATATATATATATATATATATATATATATATATATTTAATATTAATCTTCTTTTACATAAGATAGGTATCTTATGTTGTAGAGAGAAACTAGGTGGGTCCCACCATTACAAGAAAAAAAAAAAAAAAGTGAGGTGCAGAAATCGAAGTGAGAGAAAATGAGATAAACTACCTCATGTAAAAGGAGACTAATATTTCTCATTATATAAATTATTGCGCACTGTTTCTTTTATGTATACTTTGAATAATTCTAAAAATCCAAATCTCCGCTATATTATTTTCATTCCCGTTAAAGTTAGTACAATGACATCAGTAATAGTTATTTACAAGACGACAGGAGATACTCCAATATAATCATATTAATGGTAACAAACTTAATTTGGAACAGTTTATCTTTTTATGCAACATTCTGATTCTTTCCCTATGTATTAAACAGTGACGGCGCCGCGTATATTGTGAATGTGTTCGGATTAAATTTTAACAAATTATATTTATTATATATAATTATATAATTAATTATAATTTGGCTTATATTAAATTATAATTTGGCCTGGGCTATGTAATATTTCGTGTGCACCTGGAGTATTAACATACAAATGATAATGGCGCAGCTAATTAAATGCGGAAGCTAACTTTTTCTTTCCAATTATGAACCGTTCATTATTAACCAAGTGGATTACTTATTCCTTTTCAAAATATCGTCTGTATGTAAATTGCAATAAATAACTAACTGAATAACCTCATAGTATAAATAACTGTGTATCTAGTCACGGAACTACTACGTGTAGACCGGACAATATACTGATATATTATACAATTCAAGACTAAATAGCATAACAGAGATCAATGTGGCATGGACAACCCTCATGCTCACCAAATAAGACAACAAAGCCAAACAAAGTCTCAGATCATATAACATTATACTGAACATAAAACTTAATCATTATCTGAACATGGTAGTAAAACAGCATGTATAATTATCTCAACTCAACTCTGGCCTTCTGCTACTAGAGGTATCTACCCCCGAGGTACCTGTACCTGAAAATGTGCCCCAACACGGGGTGAGATCTCTAAAAAGAAATCTCAGTAAGATAAGGGGTCCTTAGGGATCTCTTCACCCCAAGCTCACTTGCATGTGCAATATAAGTTCCAAAACTGTATCAACCCTATAATTTCCAAAACTTGTGCAATGCAGCATATATCCATGTCATGTGTGTATGCATTCTACTGGCCAGAGAATTAAAGGTAGGGATTACATAAGTCTACAACCTACAGTACAAGAAAAACCGCTTGCACCTCACCCATGGAGTTACCATCTTGTGTTTCTCCACAAACTCAGGGGTTACCGTCTAGGTGGTACACTACATACATATCATATGGCACTTGCACTCAATAGCACAGCTTAATAGCATATCAAGAATCATCATTTATTTTCATAAAAACACAGCATGCATATAACCACCCCTCCATGAGGTATGGTGCAACCAACAATGGGCAAAATCGAGGACACGAAAACATACCTCTCAAGCTATCAATCCCAACAAGAGTCCACACCAGCCCAAGGTCACCAAACAGCACAATCACAGTCTGTTTATATCAGAAATAATTGTTAATATTCATAGCCCAAGGTTTCACTAAGTGTTTAAGGCTTTCCAACTTATTTTAAGTGATTTTAGGCTAAATCTGTGATGAGTCTCCAATTTACTATGTATTAAGGGTTAATATGAGCATGAAATTGATTTAAAAGTAATTAAAAGTTATGAGAATTATAATTAAATTATTATTTTATTTTCAATAATATTCTCATAAGATTTCTTATATTTTGTAGTAAATTTCAGCTCAATAAAGAGATAAATTGAAGATATTAAGTAGAGTTGCTTTGGATTTCTGAATCATTGAAGATCTTATCAAATCTTCCTTTGAATATTTTTAAGGAAAGTTTTTCATTAAATACAAAGGGAAAGATTGGATAAAAGATATGATTAGAGATCCTAGTGAAGATTTCATTGAAGATATGATGGAAAATTAAAAGATATGGTTTTCATCCCTATAAAAAGGCATCTCTTGGAAACTCAAAGACACAATTCGAAAAAGGCAATAACATACAGAGGATGAGACTCGGGTTGGAGATCAGGATTCCGGAGAACTTGAAGATTGAAGACCATTGATCTTTCTTCTTCATCTTTTTTTTTTCTTTCTTTTCTATGAATTATTTTTACTATTTAATTTGTTAAAGCCAGATATGTCTGGCTAGTTTTCTTTTTGTAGTTGGGATCACAGATCCAACGTGAATCCTTTATATGTTTTAAATTGTTTTTATAATTAATGTAGTTTATGTAGCATTATTCTACCTGTATTAATTCTTCCATATCCTTGATAGAATTGATCGCTCTATTATAGGTTTTGAGGGTTAAAGCTCACAATAGACATATTGGGGCTTTAATTCACACATAGGTAGAATAACAATTTGTGCATGACCTAGACATAAGCTTACATAGATTGCAGACTTTTAATTCATTTGCTTAATGCTTAATTCAAGAGGAATTACTAAGACACTAGGATTCTAATTGGGTTAAAGGGTTGAAATCACTAAGACATTAGGGTTCAACTATTTAATAGGGACATAATGAATTGTCTGAGCTAATAAATTAGTTAATTATAAAATACAATTTAGGAATATAAAGGAGGATCAAAGGTAAAGTGCATCCTGGCTGCTAGGGGTGAAAGTGGGTTGGGCTGGGCCAAGCTTTGCCCCGAAAAGCCCAAGCCTACGTCAAAAAATTTCAATTTAGCCTGACCCAAGCCTAGTATGAGTCTAATTGTTAGCCTAGTTTGGCCCGTTTATAAAAAAACAAATGGCCTGGCTTGGCCCGTTAGCCTGTTAATTTTTAACTTCCAAGCATAACCATGAATCAACTTTACAAAGTACTCAAATTCTGTTGCTACACCAAAAATCATAATTTTAACGTCCAAACAGAATCATGAATCATAACAAAACTAATACAAAATGCTCAAACTAAATAACATATATTTCTTCAGATAAACAAATCCATACTATGTAAATTAAAATAACTACATGAATCCAACAAACACATCATGATGCTTGTAGTAAGTATAACCTCTCCCAAAGATCTTTTAATATATTCATATACACAATCTAACATGTTGAGATGTTGGTTCCTCCTATATAAGAAATAAAGTAAGATTTCTATTAAAATATAATCGAATATAATTAAGTTATAAATAATTGCAATTGATTAAATTTATATTTTTTTTTTCTTCTAGACATACTTACTCTATTTTATTTTATTTAAAATAAATAGGACAATATATGCTGGCCTGTAGGCTTATAGGCCCGACCTTTTGAAAGTGAGCCTATGGCCTTTTTATTAAAAAG